TATTGTGAAAACGTTCAATTGTAAATATTCCTGGAAAAACAGTATTACTAATTTTAGTCCATTGCCACTTTGAATCAGTTTTTCTTGAACCCAATTTTCTATCTAATTAATCTTTTTGCCCATCCAACACGTCACTCTTTATTTGCTGTTGTTAATTTTTGAGCTTTTGTAAGTATAAATGGTTTCAAATTTAATTCCTTAATTATTCTTTGCACCGATATTCTTTTAGTTTGAATGTTGTTACATTGTAAATCAAGCACCACTTTTCTTCGACTTTGTCCCATTTTTAAATGTATCAATCGTTTTACTTCTTTCTTGAATTGCTTCGTTCGAACAGTTCGTGGTGGATCGCGTTTTGGTTTACTTTTTATTGCTCTCCTTAGCCACACCCGACATCCACACCCTCACGCACGCGCACACGCATATTCACACCCACACCCACATTGACATCCACATTCACACCCACACTCTACACCCACAATAATATGGAAGTTCGTGCGGATAAATAAAAACTTGGTATATTCATTTATAATTTGAAAAAGAATTGTTGGTAAAATTAAACACAATAGCGATGATATTCGAAAAAACTTTTGGTAGGTTATTTCTGAGACACCCTGTATATTTGACATCTGCCCTGATATTTTTATGATTTCAAAATACTGAATGCATGATACTACTGCAGTTGTTTAAAGTTCATGGTTCAGTGAAGCTTCAAAGAATGAGTTTGCTTTCAAAAGTTAGGATAGGTCTGTTGCCAGAATTAGAACTGTTCCATGAGTTCTTAGAGTTCTTACTTGTATTTTATTTGTGTGATTCGCCGCATGACCGTCCTTTTTAGGATTCTAGAGTTCAGAACTCTCAGAACTGGGATAGATCTCAAAATATAGTCTACGGTTAGAAGGCGTTTTCTTGGATATATTTGAATAGTAAAAGTGTAGACATTTAGCGTACAAATAAAAGTTTAATATAAAGATACGAAATATCGATAAACTGTCTGATGTGAGCCTGTTTAGTGCATGCTTGAGCAATATTGAATGAGAGGTCGCTGCAAGCTTCGTCAACCGCATTCTCTAGTTGATGTTGCGACTTTAGATTGTTGTTTTTAATTTGTCTTTGATAATGTTTCCGACTGGTTCGATATCGTTAAAATCAGGACTAAAACCTAGCCATTCATATATTTCTGTATTATATTGTTCACGCCATTGCTTGAATTGAATACTTGTATAACGTCTGACTCTGTCAGAAATATATGAGAATCCATTCAATTTTTGTGTATTTGCAGATAAAAGTATTAACAAAAAACTTAGACAGCATATCAACACTTTGTATCTTCATATCAAACATTCATTTCTATTATAAACATCTATACTTGTGCTATTCATATATATTCAAGAGAAGCCCTTTTGACCGTAAAATCTATATTGTAAATCAAAAATACGATTCGCAGTCGTTTTGTCCTTAGTAGTTTTAATTGGTTATGTCTATTGTAGAGGTAGTGTATGAGTGACCGAATTCCAAAAGTTTTGGCTGGTGTTACTGTGCCAAACTTCAGTATAGTGTTAGTTATAAGTAAAGACATTAAAAATATTTGACTTGATATTATTCAACCAATGGAAATATTTATCTTAGGAAATTTCTCCTCAGTTTTTTGTTTAACATAATTCTCTTTTAGAAAATATTCCAATACTTAAATGGTCTCATGTAACAAATATATTTGTTTATTAATCATTGGCCTAATTTGCTTTTCGATACTACTATTTCTAAAACCAAATGAATATATTCAGAGATTAACTACGTATTCATTTATTTCAAGAACAAATATTGTCTATGAAAATTTTACTTGTGAAACATGGAAGAAATTTTCCTATATTGATATTCAGAAATATAAACAATGTTTAAAATGGACTCTAAATAACGCATTTTGGCCTGTTTCAGGAATACGTCATACATCTTTTAAACATTTATTAAATTCGTCCTCACTGATTATTGAAGTTGGCGGAAATATTGGACATGACACATCGAAATTTATTCAATTATATAATTCTTCGATCATTAGCTTTGAACCATTAGTACCAATGGCGAAAGATTTGATCGAAAAATTTAAAACAAATCGAAAAGTTGAAATTCAACCCTTTGGACTTGGTAATCGGGCAAGAAATCTATCGATTGAACCATTTGACACTTCAAATGTTGGTACCAGTATTTTTCGAAAAGTATCTGCTAAAATTTCAGCAAAAATCCAACAAATTGAATTGCTTGATGTCGTTCGAGTCATTGAGAATATTAGGAAAACAAGAACACAAAATGGAATAATCGATATGATCAGTGTCAATTGTGAAGGATGTGAATTTGAAATTCTACCTGCACTTATCCTCAATGATCTCACACAATATTTTCGAATAATACAATTTGGTTCACATATGCGACTTGTAACTGAATCGTCATGTATCTATTGTCAAATCGAACAAGCATTAGAAAGAACTCATGAAATCAAATATCACTACAGAATGGTATGGGAAGGTTGGGTATTGAAGAATAAAATAGGAAATTAATTTTGTTCATTAATGCTTTTTTTTTACAGTGACAAAGAATATGTTTAGAATGCTTAGAGAAATTAATATAAATAATATAGTAGAGTTAAAGCAACTTATTTGTTTTATACTAATTTGTATACAAGATAGATTTATAGATGGGAATCGCATTTTAGTTTTAAAAATTGCCGCCTAGAACATGATTTTCTTATATCGTTTGAGATGTACACAATAGTTTATATAGAACTCTATGGAATAAAAATAAAATCCTGCCGTCACAACTTCACAAGATAGATTTATTTTTAAACGCTGATGCCTGTATTCATATTCCAGAAGCGATTTTAAAATTGTTTCGATAATTGATCGAATAATGAAAATCATCTCATGTAGACAAGTAAACGTTCCAATGATAGTTTAACGTATTCAGATAGAAAAATAAAAACAAATTTAACGCATTTAGTAGACAAAGCTGATGGTTATATGTGTTTTCATGCGGGGTATGGATGGGTGTGGGTGTAGCTTTGGGTAGATTTTCACTTCACCCACACCCACCCTACACTCCACATTCAACACTCGCACCTCACACCCACAATGATCATTTGGCATGATGAAACAATGTGCAATCAGAATGAACAGAAGCAATTTGTGTGAACCGATACAAATATGGGAATCGGTCGTCTGCACCTGACCAGTGACAAAAGTGTTAATAACCTTCTTCTAAAATGTTAAGCAACTTCCGTTTTTTTAGGCAAAAGGATTGTTATTTCTGCTGTAATGAGCACATCGGATTTTCACATCTCATTGATTGACATTATTGAATGTGACGAAGATCATAGCATGAATACCAGGCATTTTTTGACTTGGATTGATCGTACGGCCTTAATTTTACAAGAGAGCTCGATAATATTCATACTACTACGTTTCCTCTCGTATTATGTGTAAGTTTAGACAAAAATGTAAAAATTATTCTAGTGCTCGATAATGTCACTGGTACAACCGTCTCACTCACGATACAATTCCGCCCAAGAGAGCGTGGGGCAAAGAAGTTATCATTTAATGGCTCTTTCATCAAAATATTGCCATTCCTATCAAGGCAAGGAAGGCAGAATTGCTCGAGCTTGCTCTAAATAATCTACGCAAAAAACGTTATATTGTCGATGAAGCAGCAGATAAATACAATATCGGAATTTTGTGGTCAGTTTTTAGACTTTTGCAATAACTATCATCTTGATACACGCCTTTGAAGCTTGTCTGTGAAGCACTGTTTGCTCAATCCAATCGATCTAGCTTGGGCTGGTTTGAAAAATTACGTGCGAGAAACAAACGTGCAATTTCGCCTAACTGATGTTCAGAAGTTAGCATAACAATCGATGCTAGCTTTGGAGCCAACCACAGTCGCTGTATATCTCAATCACGTAGAGAAAATTGAGGAAACATTCAAGAAACCTGACGCTTTCATAGGAAGGCTCAAAATGCACTGAATGAATGAGGAAGATGATGAACAATTGAATTCAGAAATAGAAGAGATGTCCAAATGAAACACAATTTTTGTTCACTTTGTTTCTCGATCTCTTTGTTTTGATGAACAATAATAAAATATCCAACTATTTTTTGTTCTTAATAACAACACCTAGCTAATTTTTGATCCCTAACAACAATACCCAGTTATTTTTTCACTCTAATAGCAACACTCAGCTATTTTTAGGCTCTAATAACAATACTCACCTAGTCTTTGACCTTAGCAACTAGTCTGGGAATGAGAAATCGTCATTAGGTTAAAAAAATGGCTAGCTGTTTGTGCCAATGAGCATATTATCTTATGTAATATCTTTTCTTTCTCAGGGTGTTCTTGTACAATCAATGATATGTAGTGTTCATAATCGCGTTACTTTTACATTTATCTATGCATGATTGAACCTTATTCTCTTTTGTGTCGTAATGTGCTTCTCATTCTATATTACGATTCACTCGTATATTATATGTATTGTTCTCACCTATGTGTTCTTACTCTATTGTTCTTCTATGTGTGATTTCTCCTTGGCTTTATCACCTCTTTATTCTTACATTGTTCTCGCCTTGGCCTCATCTTCTTTCTTTTCATCCTCTCTTATTCTACTCGTGTATATAAGCGTGTGCTTTATATGTAAACGGTACGATTGTATGATATGAGGGAAGAGAATAAAGTGTATCACCATCAACACTAACATCCCTTGTATCATTGAACATCACAAGACAATTATATGATATGAAGGAATAGGATCACCAACCATACTAACATTCCTTCTATCATTTTTCGACACAGTGTTGTTATTCGCGCCCAAAAATAGCTGAATATTGTTACTAGGGTCAAAAAAATAACTGGCTGTTGTTATTGGCGGTCAAAAATTAGCTAGGTGTTGTTATTAAGAACAAAAAGTAGATGAATATTTTATGAGGGTCAAAAATAGCTAGGTGTTGCTATTAGGGCCAAAGAATGACTGATTGTTCTTATTAGGGACAAAAAATAGCTGAATATCGTTATTAGGGACAATTTGTTTTTCAAACAATGTAAAAGATCTGCTTTTCAAGATGCGTTTGTTGATAAATAAAAATTCATTTTCTCATGAACTTCTGGATCTAGATAGAGTTCTACACGCTCTACAAAAATGCCAGGGAGCCATTTGCTTGTTTTTTTGAAGAAATACTGTGAGAAATTTTTTTTCTCAAAAAGTCCCTTTTTGCTTGAATTCTGTTAGAGTGTTATTATTAGGGTCAAAAGTTAGCAGTAGCAGTTCAGTATCGTAGACCGCTGATTTCTCCGCCGCTACGTTTCTAACAAAGACGGTTAGTACATTATTTGAAAGCGAAAACTTCCAGGATTATGCATATGTAAAAATATTTTCAATCGAATGTAAAATGGCTGAGAACTGAATGAATCAAGACAAGCTATTTATTTCGTGTTGTTATTACCGACATTGACTGTACAAGGGAGCAACATATGATTAACTCTAGAGCAGATGTATTCAATGGCAAACGATTTACATCAATTAACAGAGGAGCGTGAGGGATAAAACGGACTGCGACTCGTTACATCATGAATTTAATCACTTCCTTTTTTTTCGATTTATTCTTCAGTAAACTAGATAGATCGATAGATTTCACCAAAGCAAACATTTGGCTGCTATTCATAATGTATAACAATGATATTTTTTATGACTCATTTTGAGCTCGCTTAGTAAATCCTTCCCTACAATAGAAGACCTCTTTGGAGGAACGATGTACTGGACTTAATAGAAGCCCTTCCTTTAATTAATTAATTTTTCGAAGACTTCGAACTTTGATTAGTATATTAGCGTTAAAATATACCTAGGTTTCAGGTTTTGGTTAAAAATCTTAACAAGTGAAGTCAGCATTATTTCTAAGCTTTCAAAACCCTAAAATCTCTTTTCCAAATCTCAATATCAGTTTAGTTTTCTGGAAAACTTGTTTTATTAAAAATTATTAAAATAAATGCGACACAATTGATGACCTCTCTGGAAATTTTGTACGCTCGAACATAATAGAAGACTCGGGGTCTTTTATTGGGAGGAGGAGTTTAGCATTTTTTTTAATGCCTTTTTTAGAAAATCCGTCTTGCGTATAGACCCACATATACGTGTATACATGACTTATGTTAATTAAAATTACGTCAACCTTTAGATTATGTATATCACTATGTCGATAAATCTATTTTGTTAACATTTAACAAGAATATTATTATAAAAACTTGATAGTCTCTCATATTATTAACCATTTATGAGGCACTGCACAAAAGCATCAAAATAGTTTACACAAGAGATTGATCAAAAATTTCTCATATTAACAAAACTCTATTTTGGGTGCTGTAAGTAGAATGAGCATATCTCAGTCAAAGTTCAACCTTTAAGTCTAAAAACTTGGTTCTATACCTAATAAAATTTGTTCTACAAAATGGGATAACTCTTATCAAAATTTGAGACTATCAATTGAGCAGCTATATTGGCATTCAGTCATCTCACTCGTGCAGTGACTCGTAGGTACACAAGTGTGTTTATTAAAATGGAATGAGTTCGAATTATTGACTACTTGGATACAAAACCTATTCGAATGAAATGCAAAGCTATTTTTTTTGCTTTCAATGCGTAAAAGTAAACATGCAAAGCATGCATCGATAACATCCAGATTTCTTCGCTGACTTTGACTCTTAAAATGTTGATTCAGTTGCTCTCTTCTTTGTCACATGGCAGATTTATTTTTCCTTTCATCTGTTGAATGAAAAATATCTCTCTGCTTTTTTCGATGTGATTCATTTTCACTTCTCGCTTTTGAAGAAAGTCGACGAACAAGCATTGGTAAGTAATTCTTTTACGTTTTTTTTGCCTCTCCACTATTACTAACATAGCCAGTTTCACATTTGATGTTTGAGCATTTTGATCATAGCCTTGTGTTGAATCAATGTCGATGATTTTCAGTGATTAATAGAAACAACCCCTTAACACAAAATAATAACAGAGTGCAGTGAAAACAGGTACTTATGCCTTTCTCGGAGAGTTTTCTGTCGAAAGTTATTAATTCCATTCAAGTTCCATGATGATTAGATTTTTAGGAAAAGTTCGATCGGTATTCTTAGACAAAGAGACGGTCGAAATCTAACGGAATCGGTAACAATATCGTCAGAATAGAATGGAATTCGTCTATTTCGAGATACTTTCGGTAATCGGAATGAATGACCTAAGTACTATTTTTGTTACTTGTCACAGATCTCACTCGTATCTGATAATTCAAAGAAGTTGACCGTCTCTATTTCTCAATCCAACGTGGGCGCACTATTGGTTGACTCACTTGTTAAGAAAGAATTTGTTGTTCCTAAATGAAGAACTCTGAACTCTTTAGGGACGATCTGAATCACAGTTTTTCTTTTTAAGTATTATTTTTTATTATTATAGTTTTTTGTTTGTTTAAAGTGCTTTCTTTCAAATTTCTCAGTAGTTCATTGCAAGCCTTCGTACAGATTTCATCTTACTTAACTCCCTATTATATCACAACAAGGACTTTGTATGTTGTGAAAGGCGATCCAAAATGAATGTTGAAGTATAGTCGTACAAATTTTGGCCCACTCTCTTCCTTCTTCAAAGATCATGACAAACACCAGTGAGAGATCATCACAGACCGTGACAGACATAACTGGACGTCGCAGAGAATGGGGTATAAGTGGAAATTCGCCTATTCACCTACACCCACACCTCTTCTTCCGTGATTGTTTCATATGTTACAGAGCGAGTCGAGTTATATATATCTTGAAATTTTTATGATTTATCAATTCTTTTTTGACGAAGTTCTAGAATTTGTAAAATAAGTTTTCCTCTGGGGTCCCAGCAAAACGAAAACAATAGTTTGAAAATTGTTTTGCACAACTTTCCGAAGAACAAAAGCGTACCTGAGAAATCTACAAGTTTTGTTTTCACACTCTTTCACAAGGATGCTTTCGTTCTTCAGAAAATCGTGCAAAACAATTTTCAAAATATTGTTTTGTTTTGCTGGGGTTCCAGAGAAAAATCAATTCTGCAAATTCTAGCACTTCGTCAAATAAAATCGACAAATCATAAAAGTTTCACAATATATGCAACACACTGCACTCTACAACATAACCTCAAAGTTATTGGGTGTATACCCCCCTTTAAAGCTTCATCTTTTCCAGCATTATGCTTTATTAGAAGATCCTTTTTTATTCCCTCACTATGTTCATTTTCTCTTCGAATGACATAACTCACAGAAGAATACTGCAATTAAAAAAAAAGAATCAAAGAATATGAATAGAATAAAATAGATGTCGATAAGAACGGAATGTGTGAAGGTATATAAGATGTATGGCTGTAACATGTCTTCTAACCGACGAAAATGTGGGTGCACCCACATTCAAAAATAAAAAGTAGGAAGAAAGAAAGAAAAAAAAAGAAAGAAGGAAAAAAGAAGGAAGAAGAAAAAAAAGATGCTAGAAATGCTGATGTGAAGCGAGTAATAAGAGAAAGAGAATAATCGAATAAAATGAAAACAAGAATGACAGTGTCATACCATAAAAAAAAAAAAAACAGAAAGAATACGATGTCCATAGTTGGAAACTCGTAAGTAAATTAGAATTTGAGGGGTGACAAAGGAGGTCCAGTAGAAATGAGCCGAATTAAAGCGAAAGGTAGACAATAGTACGGTGAAGATGATGATGGCTGATGTAAACCATACGGTTAAGATGTGTATTCCATGGTAGCAAGACGTTGTAGGACAGTCATAAGAACGTTTGCCATTGGATGTATTTGTGTTAATCCAGATGCTTCGACGTAAGTAGAATCGTAGTCGGCTACATAAAAAAAATGATGACGACCATTAAGATATGCATAATGATGACGAATGAAATAGCGGTGCCCAAGAAAATGTTGCATATCCAGTTAGTACTATTACAGTGAGCGGTATGAGATTGTTCCAGAACGTTGATGGGATTATGTACTTCTGCGTTCAAAAATTATTTGACGCTATACTCATGGATGTTGAGAGTGTAAGAAACATGAAAATTGAGAAGGATGAATACGAATGAATGCATTAATAAACCATATAATGAACGATAATTTGTAAAAGAAATAGATGGTCGAGGTAGAAAATATGTATCAACTGAAGAAAGTAGATGAAAAGATAGTAGAATAATGTTGTGAAAAGTTCGAAAAAAACTATGAGGAATAGAGAATGTAGATGAGACGAGTATGAAATTGTATGAGATGAAAACTAGAAAGTATTAAAAGATATATGATGCGCAATATGAAAGATATAGTAAACAGTCGAAAACCGATTTATAATCAATCGACTCAACTTGTTGATTGTCTCTCAATTAACGGCATGAGAAAGTCGACAGTAACTTAACATTTTAATGAGAGACACAAAATTTTTTTCGCATCAGATCTGATGTTAATCTTTCTCTGCTGATCTAAAATGCAACAATTTTTTGTGAAGCGACAACTTTTTGCAATCTTCTTAATAAAAAAACTCGACTTTTTCTGGCGAATTTTTGAGAAGAGAATTCGAGTTCAATGTGAGAAAATTTCTCAACAATGTCGTTATGAAAAGTGATCACTCTGACGAAAATTGTTCTATATCAAGCTATTTCAAAGAAAAAATTGACTAAAGTAGAAAGTTTGTCAAAGTTAACTGTAAGTATACAATTGTTATTTTTCGCGAAGCAACAACATTTTTTGGATTCATGGAAAACTTGGCTTTTTCTTATGTTGTTCGAAAGTAAAAGTGTTGCAAGAGCTCTTGGAGATTTCGCCGCCGAAGACGGCCACGCTAGTGACGGCTGTTGGAAAAAGAAGCTCTTCATGATCAAGATCAGAGCAAAATCGTGTTAAAAACAGAAAATCACAGATATTTTTAGGCCGAGTACGTTGGCGTAGTCATGTTTCCGCTTCGTGAAAAATTTAAACATTCCGTCAGAATTTTCTAGCAAAAAATTCCAAAAAAATTTATCGATTTTGTTGGCTACGAATGAATAATTTTTAATTATTGAGAGGAGAGGAGTGTACATCCCCCTATACCCCGTCTCACTTTCGCGGGCCTTGGTTTATTCAAGTCCATAGTCACATTTTAAAATAAGAGATATGAGCGTAGTCACTTTCGGCAAATTGCCATAACAACAGTATATATTTCTTTTTCATTATTTTGAAAAGTGAGTTTTTAGATTTTTTAACTGTGTACTTTTTTTGCTCAAGTGGCAAATCGTAGTTAACATATGATGTCATCTCAACATCGTCAAAAATGTTCGTACGGTGGCGAATGTAAATTAATTGAAAATGATTCATGTCATGCAAATGACTTTGAACATCCAGATTTTTGTCGTGATGGTGGCCGTTGTGAAAATATGAATTATGAACATCTAAAAGCTTATCGACATGTACCTTTATGTCAATATCGTCGTCAATGTCTCGATTATAATCGTGGAACAGTTGATCATTGTCGAAATTTTCGTCATTGTTTATCCATGTGTCGTTTCGGTCATTTTTGTGTAAAATTTCATGATGAAAAACATTTAAGCCAAGAAAATCATCCATTTCATCCACCATGTCCATTGACTCCATTCCATTGTCGACAATATAATAGTTTATGTGATACGAAAAATATTAGAACATTATCAATTGAGGTTCAAAATCATTGCCTACAATATTCACATGTATGTCGATACGGTCGTCAATGCTACGAAACAGCGGATATACATTGGAAAAATACAATTCATGTTGCTCGTAATATCTGTTTAAAGAATGATGCATGTACAGAAATCGATCAAGAAAATCATTTAAATTCATTTTCACACCCTGGTATAGCTGATATTCGTCGATTTTGCCCTTATCCAGGCCATGAGTGTCGAGATAGACGAAAACTTGAACATATTAAACAATATCGACATCATGGAAATCATGATCGTAGTGGTGTTATTAGTTGTTTTGGACAAAACAAAACGATTAATTTTGTTGAAAATCAAGAGAGAATTGTTCAAGCAATAAAAAAATATGCAAAAAGTTTAAATTCAAGAGATACATTATCGATTCCGTTAGAAATTCAAAAATGGATTAAAGGTTTACAACCAATTCATCGATGTTCAAAAGTCATTTTTGAATCAATACTTGTTCATGGTCATGTCATGTCTCGTGAACATATGGAACATTTGAAAAACCCATCGTTTGTAGCTCAAGCTGTTCAAGAACATAAACGTGTACGAGCTATTTTTGATCGCTATAAAACGCCAGCAATAGAGGATTATGCTAAAGAATATATTCGAGCTATTGTGTTTTTGGAATACAGTAAAAAACATGGTACCACTGCAATAACTGGAGCTGCTATTGGTGATTTATTAATGCCAGTTACTCATGATGACTATGGTGATACTATACGTAAAAAAGAAAGAATGTTTCAAAGTTTGATGAAATTGGAAGAAGTTGAAACAATAAAAAAATGTGCCATTGATATTGCTGAAGCCTCATGGAATCTTCATAGTTCTCCAAGTGGTATTGGATATTCGAATGATAAAGAATTAGGTACTGATAAGCATGTTTTTAGCGTTCTCGGACCACATCTAGGACATTACTATGGAGATATATTTCTTGTTTTTAAAAGTGAAGTAATGTTTCATCCGGATGCTAATTTTTCTCCTCAAGCAGCTACATCATTCTTGAGTGGAAGGACATTCACAAATCGACCATGGGTTCAAGATCCTGGTGCACGTTCCGCAAAGATAAAATGTTTTCATGAATCAAAATTACATTGTGCTATACCTGGATATGAATATGCAGCAGTAGCAGAACTAATAGCCGTATCAGGATTACAGAAGAAAACAATGGATATTGATCTGAAAACCATTTTAAATTATTGGACGAAAGCTGATTCACATCAAGTATTTGAGGCTCATTTACCTCGATTAGTTCCACTTGATTATATCGAAGAAGTATATATACCAAAAAATCTTTTTGCTTCACTAACTTCAGCAGCTCAAGAATCGGCTACAAAAGTTTTTCGTGATACACTTCATATTACAGATCATAAAATTAATCTTACTGATACTGGTGGTGGAGTTTCACCCTTGTCGGATAAGAGTCGTTCTGAATATCAAGATTTTGTGATTGGTATATTAATGAAAAAGATCGAGAAACGAAAAGAACATGCAAAACATTTTCGTGGCTTTGTTCTTACTCTAGCACCAAATCAATTTACAGATCATATTGTTTTACCATTAACAATAAACGATGCTCATAATCAATATCTTCGAATTCATAAACAAAGTTCAAATTCTAATGTTGTATATATTTATTGGGAAACAATGTATGGTGATATGATGGTTACTCTTTCGGATGAACCAATTATTCCCGATGAGAAACAACCACATATTCGATGTCTCGTTTGTTATATTGCTGAAAAACCATCAATGACAACAACCAGTTATAATGAATCATATTCATATTTAAATGCTGGTGAACCATATCGACATGGTATTATTAAGACTAATGGTCAATGTTCAAGTAGTTCACGTTCATTTCATCGTGGTTGTAATATGGAAGAATTTTCAATGTATTGTCTTAAAATTGATAAGCAAACAGGTCAAGTAATACTTTCACATGCTGGACCAAATAGTATTTATTGTTATGAAACAATAGCATGTAAATTTTCTAAAATATCTCTTGATTTAAACAAATTACAATATGTTCATGTAAGTGCTGGTTCACACAAAGTGCCTATTCGAGATTTAATTATTAGTTTTGAAGAAATTTCTGATTTACATCCATCATTTGATATGAAGTTTAAACGAGGTGATGATCCTTTTCCTCGTAGCAAAAAATCTTATGATTATGACCGTTTGACATCTTCAAAAATACCATATACGACTCTATCAACGAAGTATAAAACTTCAAGTTCGACCGATGATGTTTTTGATTATGATGTCGATGATAAAAATCTTGATCCATGTCCCTATTCGATCAATTGTGTATTACAAGAATCGTTGAAACATATGAAAGAATATTCTCATCCTTGTCCATATTCTGAACTTTGTCGTAGTAAAGACAAGGAACCTCATCTAACTCATGAACCTCATCGAGTAGAACAATGTTCACTCAAGAGTTCGTGTCAAAAACTTGATGATCCTTTACATCGAGTAAAGTATCGACATCCAGGCTATCCTGACTTTCTTATTCCATGTCGTGATGGATTGAATTGTCATAATAAAACATTTGATCATCGAACAAAATATTCACATGGCGAAAAGATTGAAACATCTGAATTTATGTCTTGTAAGTCGTTGTCTACAGGGTGGTCCATAAGTCCCCCGACACTCTTGTATTGCGGATAACTTTTGACGGAAGCAAGATATAGATCTGCGGTTTTCATCATTCGAAAGAGCGATGATCAATCTATCAATCTGTATAATATTCACCGAACTGAAAAATGTTCTTTCATAGAAACTTTTTCAACTGGCATCATTTTTTTGTGCATTTTCATAAATATCCACAATAATCCCATCTCAAATCACCCGTTTGTCACTATAAAATTATAACTTTGCGCATTATTCCGTCGATCTTTTTTGTATGTGAACCTTCAAAAAATGCTGATAATTTAATAACGAAAACTGAATGATGTGAGCTGCATTGGGACGCAATTTGAGACAGGAGTATTGTGGACATTTATGAAGATACACGAAAAAACAATACCAGTTGAAAAAGTTTCTAAGAAAAAGCATCTTTCAGTTCAGTGAATATTATACAGATTGATAGATTGATCATCGCTCTTTCGAATGATGAAAACCGCAGGTCTGTATCTTGCTTCCATCAAAAGTTATTCGCAATGCAAGAGTGTCGGGGGACTTATGGACCACCCTGTATTTAAATTTAGATTGAATTTCAAGTTTTTGTTTCATTCTTTCTACTTAGATGATACATCCCATAAACCATCATCAAAATACCATCCTGAATATCGAGATACAGAATACACTCATGTAAAAACAAGTGATCAACGAACTCCTTGTCGATACGGATCAAATTGTTATGTTCAGAATAATTCCGATCATTGTTCAGAATATTCACATCCTTGTGAATACAAATCTAAACATTCAACTAGTTCAAGTGTTAAACGAACACCTTGCCGTTATGGAAACAATTGTTGGGACAAAAATAGTTATCAACATTGTTTGGAATATTCACATCCTGATGACGAATAAAGCTGAGACCATAGAAGTTCTAATCGTGATTGAAGACATTTCAAATTTAGTAACAAATACCGTGATACAAACTCTCGTCATTGTTCCACATACTTCTATTCAAACTAATAAAAATAAAGGTTCCGATCTTTTGAACATTGAATATCGATTAAGGAGTAGGAACATTTTTTTTTAATAAGAGAAATAAAATTGTATGGAACGACTTCAGACAAATGTTTTATTTAGTAGAAGCATACGTTCGCTGGTCGTTATCTAATTGCAACGAATGATCAAGTATGGAGCATTTCAATTTACAAATATGAGAAGGAACTCAACCAGCAATGCTAGACTAGTGTGATAGTTACGATCGAGTTTATTATAAGTGCCCATAGACTTACTAAGCATGAACGTCATACATTTTCTTTCTGTTATTATTGTGTTTAGAAGTTTTCATTTCTTAAATCTAATATCAATGTCATGGTTAAAAAATAATGATACAAAGGGAATTGAGAATAGAAATGCAAAGAAATAGAGGAAAATAAAACTGTTCAAATCAAGAGAAATTAAGTTTTTGTTTTGTTATATGTAAATATACTACTCATAATCATATCATTTTCCAATGGTACATCATTTAAGATATTTTTATCTTTTGAATTCTAACAATTTCCATTTATGCTTGTCTTTAAACTCGTCGTAACACATATAATTATTAAGAGAAAAAACAAGAAATTTGTCCGTCCAATCTCATGAGAGGCCAAAATGTGGAACTTATAAACTCTAACTATTATGGCCTTATAGTATATTGTTAGAGGAATGGTAATAGTTTATTTTTAAAAAAATGCCAAAGAAATGAATAAATCAAAATTATAACAAGTTTTATAGTTGACACACGAGCTTTGAAATTTTACCATTTCGAAAATATGTTTACATATAGAATTCCTACTCTACCAATTTATTAGATTCATTTAATATCGTTATACTGAAAAAGCTTACTAATACATAGCTTCTTTTCTCCTAATGATAATGTGCATAATACGTGTCATAGGAAATGACAAATATCATTTTATTCGTCGTTTCAACTATCATATTAGCCTGCTATACACATTAATTTGATTGTTCAATAGGCTTTCACACATATTATCCTGCTCTTCGACGAATTTTAATATATACTGTTGAGTTTCGCCTAAAGTTAGGTTTCAATCAGTTCATGCTTTTCTATATCCGTCCTATTTTGACTCTGCTAGATCAATAATTCCACCATCCTACTCATTGATACCTACGAGAAGATCTTTTTGCTACATTACATATTAAAATCCGCAATATTTAGATTAATTATATTCTCTAATAGAAGTTTTAGATTCTTTTAATGCTTTGAAAGGTTCTAGGATGATGTATCCAATAGTCATTGACCTTTTTTCCCTTATAACTATGGAAGGCGTACCCAATGATCTTTGGCTTTTCTCCTTCTCCCGCTCCCAATTGCTAGGGTCTAGGAGAGAGCCACAAAAAATTCGATTTATATTTACACTCATTATTTTCTTCGAAAATATATATGAGTTCCACAAAACTAAATTACAATTGAATACTAAAGATTTTTATTTCGTTTATTTATTGTATCTTTGAGATTTTATGATTTCAAATACAATAAATAAATAAAATCAATCGAATATTCTATTATATCATCAATCAGTATTTTATTCAGCTTATGAGTCGAGAGAGATTTTCAAAAACACATGTTTGCCCTTCCAAAGGTTGAAATCATTTCTTCGAAAGAGAAAATCTATGTACAACACTCATATCAATGCAAGATTTTTTTCTTCTAACAGAAAAATCTCATTATATAATTAACCAAAAATACATATTTAGTCTGTGTATACCTAGTTGCCATTCTTGTCTTATCTAACTTTCAATTAAAAGATGTCTTTTTGTTTTTTATTTCATATTAGAACAAATTATAGACAAATAAAATCGACTTCTAATCCATGTCATTTGTAGTCACATTGAAAAGATATAGAATTTCTTTTCTTTTTTTTTAATTAACAAATTTTTAAGATTATCATTCGAATATGAGAATACAACCATAATAATTGACACACAAACATTTAACATAATGTTTCAGTATAGGTTTTTTTCGGTGATATTGTTGATGATATTTCATTTGTATAAATATCAAAATAATTTGGATTACTCCATTGTGGAGTATGATGAAAATATTGTGCTACTTCAAGATCACATGGATCATCAGATGGTGATGATATTTGTTCATCAATATAATTCGAAGGATGTTGATAAAATTTAATTGGTTTAAATGCACTTTGTTTTGTACTAATAAAATCACTTATAGGTTCATATGTTGATCGATTAAAATCATAATTTTTATTTATATATTTATATGGATAAGAATTTTGACATAATGAAGGTTTAACTAAATAATTTTTATGAGAATATATATTATCATTAGTTGATAGAAACCCTCGAGGAATATTTTCATGATTGATCATCGTCATTAGACGATGATAAGAATGAATATTTTGTTGATTATTATTATTATTTTTATTTCTTTTCGAATATGATAATAAACGATGTGATAGTTGATGAGAATGACATTCATGAATTGATGCATAATTTTCAGTTGAAATTTTCACTTGATTATCATATAATGGATAAACATGTATAGAATGAATTATAGACTACAAAAAAAAATTATAATAATAATCATTGTTAAAAATATGTTTTACCGGTTCTATGAATGAATTTCGTTTATAAATTGATGGTGATTGTCGTAATTTTATATGATTATTTTCTGATAAATAATTTACAGGTGTTGTTGATGTTGCTTTACTACATGTTTTAGTAGGAGATGAATTATGACTTTTTTTTAATATTAATTTTGATTTTGCTCGTTCATATTGTTTACGTATAAAAGTTGATATACGTGAAATATTTTTTGTTTTTAATGATTTATCATTATTTATTATTTTATTATTTTGTACAAAATTTGATTGTTTATTATTTGCAGATCTTTTTTCATGTATTGATTGTGGTGATTCATTTGTTGATGATAAATCACTATGATAACCACTTGAACAACTGGTTGTTTGTGAAGATAGACGACATATATCAGTCATTTGACGAATATTATTCTTTGAATGCATAATTAATGATGTACTTCGAACTATTGTTAATATAATAATTTAAAAATAGTCCAAGCTAAAATAGAAACATATATATTTATTTAAAATTCTAGTCTCATATCAACATGAAAGATAGCTTTTTTTTCTATATCCTATCAGTTCTAACTTTCTATTTTATATACAAAATACAAGCTTTTAATGATAATTTTCTTTGAGAAGCAAATAATCTATTGTCATACAGAAAAGAAATATGACATATATATACATCTATTTAGGTTATACTTGACCAAAAGAAAGAACTAGATGCATGCAACAAGCATTATGAGGAATAATTAGTAGGATAAGTGACCTCCATCTCAACATATGCGACTGTTAAAAGCAATATCTAATTTGTATGCAATGAAAAAAAATGAACGAATACAATTCACGTTATATATACATATACATTATAAATACATACAATCAATGACACAAGTGTATTGAGCGATAATCGTATGACGAAGAGTAGAACTAGCTACAGGAGGTACTACTACTACTACTACTCATCAAACATGATGATGATGATGGTGATGTAATAGACTGCTCGATATATATTAAAAAAATGAAACTACTCTATTGACTATATAATACATATATATGGCTTTTTCGCACAAGACTAAGATGAAATCTCTAGGATCACTTAAAATGAATGTATCGATCAAGTACAAAAAAAAAACGATTTGTGTGATTGTATACATAAACATATATATTTGTCATAAATCAGCTAAGTAGATATGTAGAACTTCATTAGAATTTTGTCAATCAAATGAATGTGAAAATAGCAAAAGCGAGAAAGATGAGTAGAACAAAAAAAAAAAATGTTTGTATGATAAATAATTCAAGTTTACTTTTTTTTTTTATAGATCGCTATCCATGACAAACAAAAGACGCACTCATCAACGCTGATTCGCTATAGTTTGTATACAACATGTACTATGAAAAAAAGAAAGTGTCACTTGTTATATATATATATATTTGTCGTGATGATTATCGATAGCACTCAATAATTACCTTTCGATTTATGATCAGTATCCAGGTGATGTCGTTCTTTCATGTTTTATGTGAATAATCACATATGATAGTGTTTCATGACATATATATATATATAAAGAAAAAAAAAACCGTGAAAACTTGTTTAATCTCTTCTGTATGAGTTATATCATTCGCAAAAAATATTCTTAAAGTTTCTAAATGTGAAAACTCAAGTTTTAATTCATCGCTAATCGATTTTCTTCAAATGAAAGAATGTTTAGACTACATACGATCGTTTAACATCATCAGTATCATTGACATTCATTGCGTTTAATGAGAAAAGAATGATGAACGTGTGTGAGATCCAAATCTTTATCATAAAAAATACATTTGCATATTTTCTCATATGTGTATATATATGCAACAAAAAAAAATTCTCTTATCAGTAAACAGCATATTTCTTTCTCAAGGCAATAACAATGAAACAGTTGTAGGACTAGAGAGAAAGAGAGATGCCGTATAGTGATGAACTCTCACAAGATTACTCATTGATAAACTGATTTATACTTACATGATTAAGAAATATGAAGAATAATACGAATATTTATCTAAAATAATAGAAAGAAAATTACAATCATTGTTTGATAACAATTTATAATTATGTAAATTAATCTACTGATATGATTATTATTATTATTATTATTCGAACAAAAGACTATTATAGCAAAAGATAAATTACATGTAATATTATATGAATAATGAAAAAAAGAAAAACAATCTTCTTCTTACGTCAGATAGTCATAAAAATAATAAAACAAAAAGAGTCGTCTATATATGATCAAAATTCGATTACCTTGCTATTGAATGTTTCCTCTCATCAATATAGAAGCTGCCAGTATGTGCTCTTGAACTTTAACAGTATATATACATGTATGAGAAAGACTTGTCAATAGAACTATTACTCTACAATAGGAGCTAAAGGTTTCTTTCTTCTTCTAACAATCAATATAATTATTGATGGGAAAGAATATTGAGATGGAGACTGGCTAACAGATATACATCTTATATCATCTATCATCACAAGCATTTGCTCAGCATAGCAGACAATATGTTTTATTTGTGTCTTTGTCTATGCCTGTATGATCAAAAAAAATATAATAATAATAATAATATGTATGTATGTAATACGGTTAGTGTTTACAAACCTACCAGGGTTCTTTCTTTTTCACTCTCTCTCTCTCTCTCTCTCGCATTTGTTGATCACCAATTAACAACGGAAAGAATCCTAATCCTTTCTCAGTATGCATATAAATAGATCAATAGTATATATAAGTCCTTGAAAAAAAAAAATTTCTTTTGTTTCTATTACGAACTGCCTACTTTATATAATACAAAACTATTATTTATATTGAAGTATGCATTAATAAGACACAATATTGAAATTGTTGAAGCAATTATTATTATTTTTGTTAGACAGAAAACTAAATCTAAATTCATTTCAATGATAATAACTTCTAATCGAATACATTCTACAAAACAAAATACATATATACATAGAAGAAAAAATGTAAGAGTGTACCTACACAGGTACATAAATGTGTATATTATTCAAGCAAGTATGAATAGTAATAATATTGAAACAGACGTAATATAACCTATGCAAGAAAAAGAAAAATAAGCTATAAAAAATCGTCTGAATGAACTGATGACAGAGCATGTATGTTATACTAATATGTGATAACAAGGGGATGATAACGTGCTACAATGATATGATAAAAAAAAAGCCAAAGAAATGCGGAATATAATCGATGAATGAATCAAGAAAGACCTTGGTGTGTATGTGTGTGTATATATGGTTGTCAACGAACGATTTACGCATGACGAATTATTCTCATGAACATCAACGATTTAGTGATGGATCATCCTAATTATAATTTTAAAAAAAATCTCGTTAAATGTATAAGCAACAGTCAAAAAGATTTACCTTTTTATCTGTAACACCTTGATTATTGCATGGTTTATTTATTTCAAGGCAATATGACAGTTGTCATATATTCTATCAATCTTTAAGAAAGATGATTGAATAGACCTTCTTAACAAGGTTTAACACGTATATCGGTAGACAAGAAAAAGAAATTAACTTCGAGATTTCCTAACATTAATTTATATTCATTATCATTACTATTCTTCAAAAAAAAAAAAAGAAAAAACATGAATGAATATGTACTATCGACAATTAACTTCATCATTGTGTTTTGTCGATTTATTTCAAAGTTAATACGACATGTTTGAGTTATTGTATGTACAACACAATTAATTAATAGGTGATTGTTTATTTGTTTGTCACATTCATAAGAGGTATACACGAAAAGATAATATCCTGTGTTTGATCGAAAAACAAAACACCTCCCTTAATTGATAAAATTAATGGTAAGAATACTTATAGTAAGATGCATATTAGAAAGAGTTCTATTCAATGAATTTTTTTGTTATTTATTTGAATAGACATGTACGATATTGATACTCTTTATAATTGTCCAATATATAGATTTTTCTATTATTATTATTATTATTATTAAAGATTGGTCTTTAATCAATACTTTGTTTTTGTGTAATGATATACTTCAATTTTGAATGGATTCTAACATAAATGTTCAAATAAAATTTTTGAATTCTTTATTACAATTATTGATATATACTATTCAAACTGTTTTACATAATAGCAATCAATCTATTGAATATGAATGTTTTAAAAGTATTTGTTTATAAAAAATATAGTTGTATTCATATATAATAGGTTAGAGTGATTCATACACAAAATGAATTTAATCATATAAGTTGATGAAAAACCTGCATGAATAAACAAATAGAATTTTTCATACTAGATTTTCTTTTTCATTTGATTTATTTAAATTTTAATTAGACTTACTTTACTATAATATAAAATATATTTCATTAAATCGAAAGAGATAGAATAATTTATTTGTATTTTTATTCTTTCTATCTAATGTATGAAGCGGAAGACATCTTGTAAACTTTTTGTAATATAATTGTAATAATAATACATGTAATATATTCTGAAATTCTCTTATATATATCAAAGAAATAGCAAACATTTGAATTATAGTCATATTTAATCAATGAGAAAGAAATTACTTTGACAATAAACGGAAACGGAAAATATATATTTCCTCTCCAGATTCTTTTCATTGAAATTTTTTTCACGATTGTTGATTTATTTGTATCAATCAATAATTTAGATATAAATATTAAGCATATTCATTCAATCATTTCAAAATATAAATAATTGATTCAATCTCGAAGGTATTTTCCTTTTTCATCAGTATAAATGATTTTTTCTGAACAATTACAGAATTTTACTGATGGAATCTTGTCTTTGAGAGTAAGAACTAAACTAAACAGTAATGACACTATCCAACATTTTTTGGGTGTGGACTTCTTTACTTTCGCACACATTCGAATTGGAGGGATAGCACCATCGACTTAATACAAATATTGTCAATTGCAGTTTCAATTAATATGTAGTGATTGATGAATTAAAATAATATTATGTGTTTAAAATAACTATGATGAAATAACTTGACAATAAACCTCCATGAAATTAAAAAAAATTCATTTTTTGTAAGTTTTAATTTAATGAAATGGTATGAAAAAGATTGTTTGTCGCATTAGATGAATATTTTAATAAAAATTATAAAACAATTGATAAAAAAATTACATTAATATTTTACTGTCACTATCTTATGACCTATTGAATTAATTATATTCTCATTTCTATTATTACAATAACTTTCACTAACACAAATTTTCATAAAATACTGCTGGATAAAAAGTGTTGATGAAATGGTGTCAAATCGAGCATTGAGATATGAACTCGTTCAAAATATGCTTTTTTTTACAGCATCGTATTCCAATGTTTTAACAAACATTGATTCGATGGTCAGCACACTGAAACTGTACATCCACTATGTCGTGAGAATCACAATTAA